CTAGATGATCACTGTCTTTAACATATCTCTATAAAAAAAACCGACTAGATAAAATCAGGAGCATTTAAGTATTCTATTAATGGGTGAATGCACACTGCATTCACCAACTAATAGAATCATATCAATTCTCTCTTATGATGGATAAGTTTGCATTTTCGGCAAATTTATGAAATTTTTTTTTGGTTTTAACTGACACAAAATGATAACTAGTTAAGTTAAAGTTGGAATAATTAGACAGCTATGTTGAAGTAACGTCAGACATATCACAGCCACCTAGATTTACCAAATAATAAAGATCTACTCAGATCAAATCATGTAAATGAAAATATCTAGGAAAATCTTTGTTTGAGGGGTAGGCAACCTTAATAGTATTTTGAACAATAATATAATGGGTGTTCCATTTAAAATAAAAGAGTAACGTGCTTTTAAAGATAACTAATGTTTAATATTAATTATGTCTCACCCTGTATAACTTTTTGGATCAAGTTTTAATTTGATTTAAAGTACAGTTAGTAGTTAATTTAACTATATATTAGGCTGTACCGGGTAAATTCCAATTTAGGTAGCTTTTATTGTAATTTATAAATTGTCCTTTATTTCTAATAAATTTTAAATATGTCAAAAACCATACATTTTAGTCATATACTTCTCTTATAAAACTTACCTTTGTTTTTCTCCCAGAATCCGAAAAATCAATAAATATATAGGGTGTTGCAGTACAAAACACACAACTTTGATATGTAACTTTTCTGTGGACACCCTGTAGAACTCTCTATATTTTTAAAAAGTGCTCTGCATTAACCTACATAAGCTTACAAAATTTTATTTCAATACAAACTATGGTTCTCCTTGGAGCCTCCGCGGCGTATGAGAGGCGCCACCCTGTATAATTAACGCAGCAGCAATAATAATTAACGCAGCAGTGTTTACAAAAATAACTATTTTATTCTGTAGATTTTCTTACAGTGCCAGAAGTACAGGGCTGATAACATTTACATTTTCCATATTGCATATTTCGCATTTAAAATCAAATTACAGTCGACTTTTTCTATTTTTCTATAAATAAAATTGTGTCGGGAGGGTTGTTTTTTTTCTTCCCTGTATAATGTGGGAGTCAGAGACAAAAGCCTTGCTTTTTTTGGCCCACGCCTCTATCGATTAGAGTCGCTTTTTCAATTTGAAGCCCAGACACATTTTTATATCATCAATCATCGCCCTATAAAATCAGGGAGACAATAAAAAAAGTTGTTAAATAGTAAGAAAATAGCTGGATATAATCGATGCTAGTTAGGTTTATGTGTGGTAAATAGGGTAACTGATAGGGCGAGATCAAGTTCATTATTGATGGATTTTTTAAGATAGAGAGGTTTTAAAGTATAGATTAGTATTTCTTGTCCTCTTAAAAGCATACCGTACAGTATGTCTACGGATTGTCTACAAAAGGAAAAAGTTTTTTTTTGGCAAGACATTTTGAGAAAAATGCATTCTTCATAAAAATTGTGCTTGTCCTAAAATGGTTAATCTAGTTTATAATTTTGCAAGTTTCCATACCGTTTTAGAGAAAATTATGAAAAAGATTTTTAGGACTTAACTGAGAAAAATTCAACCATATTTTTATGTTTTTTTCTTTTTTACGCGCTGGGAGTAAAAATTCAAAGCCGTGACACACAAGCGCGAGACGAAAAGTGGTATGGACTTAGAAATACGTAGTGACGATGACGCTACGTGTATTTGTGAGCAGTCCACGTGTTTATCAATATTATTGAATTTTCATTACAAATTTTGTGAAAGTAAATCAAATTATCTGTTATATTTTATTTTACGCGTATAAAACTATTTGTTACACGAAAAAAACTATTTGTATATACCGGGTGCGTCTCAAAAAAGGCTCACTCCCATAACTTTTTTATTTCTTCATTTAAAAAAACGAGATTTGGTATGTTAGTATATGACATAAATAATTAGGATTGAAGTATTCAGTTGTTTTCGGTCACTTCCTGTTTCACCGGAAATGACTACAACTTTTGATATTTAAATGGCACCCTCGGTATTTTTTTACTTTATTCGATAGAAAATGACACTCTGAATAGAATGACATATCAAATGTCAACTTTTGACATTTTCGCATATGGTTTATTTGAAATTATAACATGCGGTTCATAACAAAAATTTGACTCGAAATACCAAGTGTGTGATATCAAATTATTCGTAAAAAAATGCTTTTTCCAAAGATGCTAATGAGCCACCCTCGTTCCATTTGAAAAAATTGAGATATGATTAAAAATACAATTTGTGCATTTTCTAACTGGTCAGGACAAGACACTAAAACATTAGACGATCAAATATATTTTTCCAAGGCTTCTTGATTAAGAATTAGTGTTTTTAACATAGCGATGGTACTCTAGATTAAAATTTAAAATATGATTTTTTATTAAGCGAGAATGTCAAAAATTGACATATGATATGTCATTCTATTCACAATGTCGAATAAAGTAAAAAAATACCAAGGGTGCCATTTAAAAACCAAAAGTTGTAGTCATTTCCAGTGAAACAGGAAGTGACCACTTTTTTATCTCAAAAAATAAAAAAGTTTGGTTATAATGGGGGTACTGTTTTTCGTTATGGAGCTGCTTGTTTTCGACTTCTTTTGTCAGCGGTTCTTTTACACTTATTAGCGCTCTGACTTCTTCATTTCTCCTCTTCTCTAATCTGGATATCCCGAGAGTCCGCCTAAATACGCCCATTTCAACTGCTTTTATTTTTCTTTTATTCTCCTCCGTTATTCGCCACTCTTCTGACCCATACAGTAGCCCACTCTTAATTATTGTGTAAAAAATATTTGTTACATATAAAAAACCACTCGTGAAAAAAATATTTTTTAATTTATTACTTTTTCAATATTTTTTCAAACTACACTTTTTCAAATATGTCCTTCAAATCCTTCAATTTAATAGTTGTTAATAAAAAAATTTCACTTCAAATATGCGCACATGGTGCACACACAATTTTTTTTTAATTTTCTCTAAAACGGTATAGAAATTTGGAAAAGTATAAATGGGATTAACCATTTTAGAACAAGCAAAAGTTTTTATGAATAAAGGTTGATTCTCTTTATACCTTCCGTATCAGCTCCCTTCCGTTTACATAAAATATTATATCATGTAAATGAATAGGACAATGCACACTATCCGTTCCGTTTCCCTTCCGTTCCATATCCTTTCCTTCCATACATTTTTTTGGCGGACGGACTGAAGCGTATCGGAAACAGCGTTGTCAAGTTCTTACATTTGTGCCAGCTCTGCTAACATCGTCGTGGTATCCTTTTTCGGTTTAGGTTTAAAAACCTGTTCCGCTTCACCATCTTTGTATTGGTCGTCCAATACTTCTCGTTCCTGGAGGTTGATATCGTAGCATTTTTTGTGGAATTCTATCATCTGACATTCTTTCTACATGTTCCTTCCATTTGTTTTTATATACTCCCACTTTTTCTTCTAATGGTTGTATTTTTAGTTCATTTCTTATTGTGTCATTTCTTATTCTATCTTCTCTACTTATTCCTTTTATTTTTCGTAAGAACGTCATCTCCGTTGTTCCGAGTCTTTGTTCTTTAACTTTGTGGTAGTCCAGGCTTCACTTTCATATAATACTATCGGTACCGCTAATGTATTATATAGTCTTACTTGCGTTTCTAGCCGTGCCTTGTTTTTAAAAGTTTTTGCGATAGTTCCACACACTGACTGGAATTTATTTATTTTTTTCAAGTAGTCATTATCTTTATCATAGGTTATATTAGGCATCCCAAGAAGTTGAAGTCCGATATTTGCTGTAGTGGTTTATTTCTTAAAACTATTTTGGTGCGGATTCCGTCTTTGTCCCAGTCTGCCACCACTTTTGTTTTTTCGGTAGATATTTTTCCATCATATTTTGTTATTATCTTGTCTAGGAGATGAACCTGCCTTTGTAAGGTATCCTCGTCTGGTGCGGTTCACATATATATTAAAAAGTGTAGGGGAAAGAGGACATCCTTGTCTTGTACCTCTATTAACTTCTATTGTATTATCACCTTTTACCATCTTAATATAAGTTCTGTGATAACAGCTCTTTAATACGTAAATTCAGTGCATGGGGAATCTTTTTCATGGGGTTCTTTCTTTATCATTATTTTCCATAACTTGTCTCTATTTACATAATCGAAGGCTTTTTCTAGGTCTATAAAAGCTAAGTGGGTTTGTTGGTTAAATTCTCGTCTTTTTTCTATTAGTTGCTGTAATGAGAAAACGTTATCAATCGTAGAGCGACCTTTTCAAAATCCACTTTGTTCTTCGAGTAATATGTTTTCTGATATTATTGGTACTCGTTGACAGATCATCTTTGCATAGATTTTATATTCTGAATTGAGAAGACTGATACCTCTATAATTACTGCAAATTTGTCTGTTTTCTTTTTTAAAGATGGTCTGTTAACATTTTGTTGATATTTATTTATTCTTTCACCTCTTAATTAAATCTATTACCTTTTTCAAAAGATACAAGTTTTTAAAATAAATCTTTTGTAATGATATAAATAATTGCACACTAAAAAGTATGGAACTGATACGGAACGGAAGCTTACGTATAGCGTCAATACAATAAAAAATACGGAACGGATATGGAATGGATATGCAATGGAAACGGAAGGTATAGTGAGAATCAACCTTAATGCATTTTTCTCAAAATGTCAATAATAAAAAGGTGTTTCCTCTTGTAAAGACAATCCGGGGACATCATGTATATCAATTTCAGAATTCACAATTTTAAATTTTATGATCATAACATCATGGGATTGAATATTTGATTTCTTATATAAATACCATATTTTTTGCAAGGTGTTTAAAATTCGAGCATTTAGATTTATATAGATAGAGTTCTGTTAATAATATCTAAAAATAAATTGGTAAACATTCTCTCAACTATGCTGTTGTTGTTTTTTCATTTTCTTAAAGTTATTTTTTGTATTTCTAGAGCATGAGAAGAAGTGAAAGACACAAGTTTATCAAGATATCCGTGTTTTTCCTGGTTTATTCAATAATTCAAGTTGTGTCCCCGATCAAAAAGGATAATGTACCAACAGAATCTCCACCAACGATTCCTGCTACACTTAAACCGCCTGAAGAAAAAGTATCTTCTCTACCTGGAACAGCGACACCACCTAAGGTAATCTCGTTTAAGTAATAGGTCTTTATATTTAAATAAGCGATAAAACACAAAAAAATATTACACAGCTTTTAAAAATGATGCACTATTTAATAAGATCACATATATTATCGATTTACTATCGATAAAAGAATAACTATCGATTTCGACCACTTTCGAATGATTTCTCTCGACTTCACCATTTACTTATTAGTCGAGTAAAAACGATATAAAAATGTGTCAAAATATTTTTTGGAGGTATAACTACATGCTATCTATACAGGATTATCAGTTCGGGCTTTGTGCATGTGAAATGACTAATTACGACCTTTTTGGAGGGGTCAGAAATTTTTTATCCCGGAAAATGTCAAAAATCTATCATAAATGTATAACCATGTTTTTTACCTTTCCTACGCGATAACTCCTAAACTAATCAACTTATTCACATACTCTTTTTTTTAATCGATTGGGAACATATAGACGGTGATAGCTGAGGTAATTAAAGTTCCATAATGAGTGTATTTTTTTTTTGGAAAATGGATTAAACTTCAAACATTAACTTTATTGTATCATGGTTTTCGGTAAGCGAGAAACTTTTTTATTTGAAGGAATTTTTACATAGTATCTGCGTATGAAATAAAGAAAAAATATTGATAAAGCTTTTAAAACTTGTTACAACCTTCTATTACTAATATTTTTATAGTCATTCTGATTTAAAGTTATCATTATCCCATGCGCGGGCTCTAGAGACGCCGCGCTATACTGCCCGGCCTGCATCACGTTGTACGGCGTGCTAGATGTGGCATTAATTACAAAACTCTAATCGATCATTTCATAACGAGTTTATGTGGTTATACCCTCAAAATTTTTTTTCGAGAAGGAAGCGACTTTTCTCAGTGATTTTACTCCACTATATTCAAAAAACTGACTCTTCCCGCTCCTTATGCTTCTTGTAAGCTTGCTTCTGACCACATATGTTAACTATCTTTATATACAGGGTGTTTCAAAAACATGTGCTATCTGTCGTGGGGAGATTTCTCACGTAAAAATAAGATTAATTTGTTATATTACCATAGGTCCGATTCCGCTTTGTTTCGTAGCTACAGGGTGTTAAAGTCTTAATATTTTTTCGATTTATTATAATTTTCGAATGAAATTTTGAGAGTAAAAGTTACTGTAAGTGCTACATATTTTAATGCTAAAAAAGTATCGATAAATTCATCAGGGACGTGCATATGGGGTCTCACTGGAATATTTTTCGAAAAACAACATGTGCGCCACTTCTTTTGATATTAAAATTGTGTAGGCCGTTTAATGCAAATTAAAAATTATCTCTTGATATTTTGTCGAATTCGGCCTCCTTGATGAGATAAACGCAGTTTTATTAATCTCAATTAATAAAATTAAAATTAAAATAAAATTAATAAATTATATATTTTACATAATTTTTTTTTCGATTCACGATTAACTCGGTTGGTTTGGTTTCTTGACCAGAACTGTTCTGGTTCAGGGTCTTTTAAATATTAAGCACTTTTCGGACAATTCTCACATATGGGTGCTTTTAAGCACTCGCGTTGGTAAGCTTTGGGTTTAATTTCAATAATTCCGTGTTCTTTGTAAAATCTCTATGAATAAGTCCACTGGCAGAGATTACAAAAGGTAAAACCATGACTTTATTGAGCTGGTATACTCTTTTTAATTCATATGCAATATACTTCTGTATTTTTTCTGTTGCGGTTTTTTGAAGATTCTGGTCTAATGGGACTGCTATATTAATTATGAAGCATTCTTTCTTGTCTTTGTTTATCTGGAGCATATCGGGTTTATTATGTAATACTGTTTTATCTGTTAACATAAGTGTATCCCAATATAGTTTATGGCTGCTATTTTCCATTACAGGTTCTGGGGTGTAATTAAAATACTTCGTCTGCGCAGACTGTAAACCAAGGATTAGTGACAGTTCTAAATGGATTATTTTTGCTATGTTATTATGCCTTTCTGTATAACTTGTTGGTGCTAACGTGAGACAACCAAAACTTATATGTTGTATGGATTCTGAAAATTGGTTACACATTCTACATCTGTCCGTTATGTTTTCTTTCAGAATAAACTTCCTGTGTGATCTTGTAGCTATCACCTGATCCTGAATAGCGTATATAAACCCCTCAGTTTCGCCTGTAAGTTGAATTTCCGTTAGGTATTTTACTGATTTACTTTTGCCTACACAATCTGCATCCAATTCGTGTAGCGCCTTGCCCTTTAATTTCTTTTACATAATTTATTATTAAATATTTTACTATTAATTATTATTAGATACTATTAGTCAAACCTACAGCAATTTCAAACAAAAAAATAATGGTAAACTTTTGCAAGTTAATGATATTAAAATTTTTTAAAGGTTGCTATTAGACTTGGATCAAGGCAAATTAATAAAATTGCGTTTATCTCATCAAGGAGGCCGAAATCGACAAAATATCAAGAGACAACTTTTAATAGGCATTAAACGGCTTACACTATTTAGCAAACAAGAGAAAACAAAGCCAGTGGCGTACATGCTTTTTTTAGAAAAATATTCCAGTGATAACCCATATGCACGTCCCTGGTGAATATGTCGACACTTTTTTAGCTTTAAAATATATTGTCGCATTTATAGCAACTTTTACCCTAAAAATTTCATTCGAAACGCTAAAATTACTTGGAAGAAAATTATAATATATCGAAAAAATATTAAGAATTTAACACCCTGTAACTACGAAACAAAGCAGAATCGGACCTATGTTGATATCAAAAATAAGTCTTATTTTTATGTGAGGAATCTCCCCACGAGAGATGACATGTTTTTTGAAACACCCTGTATAAAGCTGTATAAATTGTCAGATAATAAAAAAAACACTTTTTTTAATACGAATATTATTAATATTTCAGATAGACGAAACTTCAAAAGTAGCAGATTTGGAAAATAAACCGAAACAGCACGAAGCTAGTAAAAATGAGCAAAATAGTAACAAAAAGACCGCGGAAACTAAATCAAATTCGGAAGAAAGAAACGAAGAAGTTGGTAGAACCGTAAAAAATGTTAGTACTAGTACTAGCACTAACGCCACTAATGGACAAAAAGAACCTGTTGGGACTGAAGCTACTGAACCAGAACACACCCAGAACATCACTGCAACGCCAGTAATAAATTAGAAGTATTTGGTTTTATTCTGCAGTTCTAATAAGTTTCTGTGTGTTTATTTCAGACGAATGTAACCATCTCTAAGAATGTAACTACTGAATGTACACCTGCAGCTATACGACAGGTACGTTTTGATTTAAATTTCATTCGCTGTGCATTTTCCTAGATATTAGCTTACTATATTTCATATCAAATAAACTTTTAGTGACGTGATTAAGCTTGACCGTCACAGCGTTGCCTGCTTTTACCTATTTTCTTTTAATCAAAATATTTCAGGAAACAAAACTAAATTAATTATAAATATATAAACAGTCATTATTTACATCAACAAAACTCACCTTCTTAACAGTACTTAAGGGACATACAGGGTCGTTACTACCGCTTTCCCGGTCAAAATATTCTAATAAAGTTGCGATGAGTTTTTACGGTTATTAAGATATCTTGTACAGGGTGGGTCAAATTCGACGCTGTTAAATGGAAACACCTTCTTCTATAGGAGATAGACGAAAACTAATATCGGTGTCTGGAGCTCAATTTTCATCAAAAACATGATGGTGAAAACCGCACATCAATATCTGTTACCGTTTCGGAGTTACGGGGTGTTTTTCAAAAATGTGCATTTTTCAAATCGCTGTAACTTTTTTATGAAAAATTTTGTATTTCTATGAAAACATTTCCAAAGCATCTTTTTACGTAGAATTTAATGGTTTAAGTATAATTTTTTTAAAATTAATAATTTAAGAGTTATCAACAGAAAAATTGATTTTTTATTTGGGATTACCCTCTATATTTTTAATTAACTGAAAGAATTTAAAATTACCTTTCCAAAAATATAGCACACTTGATATTTTGTTATAATACCCTTCGAAATACAGAATTTTTAAAAGTTCGCCACTTTAAACTAGTAGGCTTTGGACCACTTATTGATGATATGCCCTTAATGGAACTCGAAAACATATTTTTCCAACAAGACGACGCACCGCCTCTGAACGCTGAAGTTATCAGCAAATTTTTGCAGCCATTTTCAAGAATAATTGAATAGCTAACCAAGATCCCAGCCGTTGGCCGTTGAGGCCGCCTGACTTAGCGCCCATGGATCTAATCCTATGGATATATTTGCGGAAGAATAAAGGTTCCTTATTCTTCCGTATAATCTAGACAAGAATTAGAAATACTTAGCAGGTATGAGAGGGTATCTTTCACCCCCACTGAATTAATGAATTCCGCGAGAAATGTTCAAAAACTCTCCCGTCTGTCCATAACAGAAGACGGTCGATATGTCGAACATCTGTAGCAAAATCTCATGCCTTGGTTTGCTATTTATTTTTATTGTTATTAGATATAGTTTAAATGTGTTGATGTTGGTTAAATATACTTTAAATTGTTATAAAATTCTGCATCTTTCATAGCAAATATTATTTTCGTTTTAATTGATGCCCACAGCTATAATTTTTTTTGCATTACAGCCGGTGCCGTTCAAAGCCTACTTATTTAAAGCGGGTGAATTCTTATGTACTCTATATCTCGAAGAGGAATCGAGCAAAATATCAAGTGTGTTATATTTTTGGAAAGGTAATTTTAAATTCTTTTCAATAAATTAAAAATATACAGGGTTGTCCCATATAAAAAATCATTTTTTTTGTTAATAATTCTTAAATTATTTTTACAAAAATTATACTTAAACCATTAAATTCTACGTAAAAAGGTGCTTTGGAAACGTTTTCATAAAAATACAAAATTTTCCATAGCAAAAAAGTTACAGCGATTTGTTAAAAATGCATATTTTTGAAAAACACCTCGTAACTCCGAAACAGTAACATGTTTTTGACGAAAATTGAGCTCCAGACACCGATATTAGTTTTTGTCTATCTCTTATAGAAAAGGGTGTTTCCATTTAAAAGCGTCGAATTTGACCCACCCTGTACACTTCGCACTAAAAGTGGTTCTAAAAAGAACAATGTTTGACTGCAAGGTCTGCTAGTAAACATTTTTAAGCTTAAAGTGTCACAACACTATTTATTTAAACCAAAAATTCGTAATACAAAACTAAAGTGTCAAAACGGATGACAATGCCAGGAAATAAATAAATAAATGCGGACTTGTCATTTTTTACAGCAGAGCTACCACCTGAATCCCCAGCGCAAAATTTAAATTCCAGTTGGTCGGTCTCGCGCCGAATATGTCCGTGGTTGGCAATAATAAATTTAAAAATCGCGCCTTCGATTACGTAACTAAAAGTTTTATTATTGATATCAAATATACTTAAACTAGTGTACTGAAAGCTCCTACTTTTATTCATTCATTATTGAAGAGTAACAACAATTGAGTTAAGTAGCTGCACCATAAGTAACGCCAACTGAATTTTGATCTTTCCATTTACATTATTTTATTATTTACTTATACTATGTTCCAGGTACATTGATTATTGTCCATTAATCATTAATAATCATTAGTCATTAAGGGCCCTAGGGTGGAGATCCTTGACAGTTCTGTTAGACGATTCATTTCACACATTTGAATTTGATTAGAAATTTTGTGTTTGTCAGTCTTTACTGAGCTTATTTTAAGTTATTTATTATTTATTCTACTACTGATAGTTGTTTAAAGGTAGTAAATCTAGAAGGAAATTGTGGCAGAACTTAAATTAACTGTGACACTATTGCTATTTGTCGAAAAAGACTGTAAAATGGTTGTGTAGCGTGCGGTATATCTAGGTCAAAAATCGAGGGAAATAATGGAATAACTTTCCGCTAGTAATTGACTATATAATATACATACGTGTAGTAAACCGATCATTTATGAAATTCACTTAAAATTAACTAATTATATTTTGTTCTAGTATTTTTGCTTTTATTTACTACTTGTCAAAGATTAGATGTCAAAGCATTTAGATACGTCAATTTGACTTATCTGCTTCAGTAGCGTATCGGTGTTAATAACAAATTATTATAACTTCCCTATTTTCTATTAGAATTATATATTTTTATAACAAATTTAATAACTACCGACATTTATTCACAACGTAAAATAAAACAACAAATTATCGAGTCTACCCTATATCATATTTTTACACGTTTTGAATAAAATTCGAACGGCGCTGATAAACCGGAATTTAAGTCGGCCATTTTAGGAGCCCGTCGCGTTCGATCTAAGATTTTTGATATGCTCTTTCCTTAATCTCTTTTTTTATTCCAAGATTTCCACTAAATAAATACGTTAGGTGGCTTAAATCTTAAGGGGCCAAGAGATGTCCAAATATATTATACAGATTTTGTTGCGTGAATATTGCTGAATAATAGGTCGGAAAACCTTTTAGATAACCCTCGTATTTTCTAAATTTACACGTTTTTGTATGAAAGACCTTAAAATTAGTGGAATTAAGCCCCGATTTAGTCGATGTCGCTTGTATCTAAATTCATACCGTAATAACTTGACCTTTATTTAAACTAACAAAAGAGTGCCTGTGTATTTTCCGAATTTTCTCGTTTCTGGCCAAAAAGGCGATCGAAATCTGCGAATATAAGGAAAACACGACTCAATAGCAGACCGAATGTCTGACCCAGTTCGTTCCGCGATTTTACTACCGCGAAATTATTGCGCCCGGCTTGCGAAACACCGAAATTAAAACGCATTAATGGCCATTTTGAAATCGACGTTTATGTTCTTATTTAAGGGTATTAAGTGCTTTTTAATCGAATGGATTATGAAGAGCTGTGGTCTTTTAATTATTGTTCCTAAAACTTTTCTGTATTTCCTAGTAATTAACATGCAGTTTTGAGTAGAGCTTTGATATCGGAATTTTTAATAAACTTCATAGAGAACTTTCGAATATGTGAATCTTTGATCTTTGTCAAACTAAAACTACTGTTATTTACTCATGCGTGTCTTTGAAATAAAGAGTCTCTATTTCCCTTGCATTGCTTTTTCCTGTTTACTATGAAGAAGTTTTTATCATACTAGTAGGAAAAGAGTAGTTGCACTCTCCCAGATTTATTCTGCCAGTTTTTATAATCTGTCGAATAACGGCAGATTGCAGAGCGTTTCAGTTGAGTTCCGTCCGTCGACGTGCGAGGTTTGAGCGTTGCGTCCCATCACAGAGACGGATTGACAAAAAATGAGTGCCTTACTTAAACCTCAATTTTTTTATCGATTTTGCTTCTGACAACCAACTCTTGCTTGCTGTTTAACGAACTGCACCATCATTGAACAAAAATTTGCTAGTACCGAAAGTACCAAAAAAAACTGGAAATCCCGGTTCCTGAGAGGCATGGTACCAAAATAACTGTGAATTACCCTATACAGGGTGAGTCTTAAATAAGTGCAAATATTTTCAGGGGTAGTATATCTTGACCACCGGATTTTTCTGCGCAATTTTTTTAGTTAAAAAACATAGTTTCTTGATAACATGGTAACTAGTGATGGGATAACTCGAGCGAAAATTCGCTCGAGTACTCGATTATTGAAATAACCGACATCGTTCGATTGTGAACGAGCGATGCAAGTGACGAGTACCAAGCGATCCTAGAATGAAATAAATTGAAATCCGATTTTAATGTGACATACTCGGTAAAAAGCCGAGCGAATTTTCTACATACATTGCAGGTAGGAAATTTATACAACCGCCGTATATGTAGGTATTTATCCGTTGCGTATCTGAGGGACAACATTTTACGATCTACATCGACAATGCTTTGAAATAAACTAAATCAAGCCATCAAGCGAATCGCTCGTCGCTTGCTACTCGCCATTCATCACCGAAAGAATATGTGCCCTGCGCATGCAACTTACTGCTTGGCGTTAACGAGTACCGACAAGCGACGGACGAAAAACCGTGTATTTTTAAATACGAGTGATATTTCGCTCGAGCGATCACTCGGTTATTGCAATCGCTTGAAACTCGAGTACTCGATTATTGAAATTAATCGGTTTTTCCCATCACTAGTCAGAAGACCTTTTATACAACCCTCGTATTTTCTAAATTTACACGTTTCTGTATGAAAGACCTTAAAATTAGTATAATAAAGACCCGATTTAGTTAATGTCCCTTGTATCAATATTCATACCGTAATAACTTGACCTTTATTCAAACCTTTGAATAAGAAGACTAAGGAAGGACCATATCAA